ATTTGATATAGTCATTGCATATAGATCAATCCTCCATAAATAATTCATAATTAGAGATAGGTAAAATCCGTTAACCTTTTTAATTACTTCTTTATCCTTGAGTACCATTGATTTTCTAATGGACAGTGATTCATAAAACACATTCATGAATCGGAGCTCCTACTGGTCCAAGTACCGAATCAACCCTCAAGAGAATTATTTATCTACTTCTTTCTTAAGAAGGAATGGATTCCATCTCGTGTAATAACATTCCGGCTACCTACTTCATCATGTCTCCAAAATACAAGGAATAGGATTCAGGATCTCAGAATCCGTACCGAGTAAATCAAAAGACACAAATCCATAAATAGGAGTCTGTTAAGAACTCAGGATTAAGATCATCCTATATATGACCATCGGTAGACTCAATTATAATTTCTATACTTAACGGAATTATTAGAAATTCATATTGTGGCTGTGTCCTTGTTCCACATAATCTCATTATGCGAAATACACTCATTCAATATCTCACCATATTAACAGTGCGGATAACACCGTTCCATTCTAAATGGGAATGACATGTATTAATAGTGTTTTAATTAAAGATTCTGAACTTTAATTAAATTCATTATGAACATTACTTTTTGATTATTATCCTTGAACATTATCCTCTCGTATATAACACTTATATACAATATTTAAGGTTACATAAATAATCATGGAATTTTCATTCATATTCATAAAATATTCATAAATATATGCACATAAAATAATGAATAAACTCTTTTATTAAATAAATAATAAATATCCTATTACATCTCATGCTTCTAGGACACCATTCCCAACAGTAGACCCCTGGGATAACCCCGGGACACCCCCGGGTCATCCCTGGGACACCCTCGGGGCACCCACGGGGAACCCCAGGGCACCCCCGGGGCACCCCCGGGAAACCCGCAGGGCATCCCCGGGACACCCCCGGGTAGCACCGGGGAAGCCCCGGGGCAACCCCGCGGAAGACCCTGGGATGCCCGAGGGTATTTATCTCAATCAGAATGAAAACAAAAAATTTATGGCATTTTAAGAATAGAAAATATATTGTTCATTAACTTGAGTTTGAGTTTAGAAACTTGAGTTGAATGAGGAACTTGAACTCATATTTTAGCCTCAAACTCAAGTTTAAACTCAAATTTTAAAAAAGAATATAAACTTGAATAGAGTGTAACTTGAGTTTAATTTTTTTTTTTTACGTTTGGGTGCAATTGAACAAGGCTGGTTCAGTTGTATTTTTTTTTGTTATTTTGACTTGAGTGTAGATTTTGAGTTGAATTTGAGTTATAACTCGAGTTGAAGTTGTAACTTGAGTTTGTGTTTTATTGTGTTCATTTGAGTTATGGTTTGATATGAAATTTTTTTTTAAGTTTGTGTTTGAGTGGGTCAAAACTTGAGTTTGTATTTAGATAGTATTTTAATAAAAACTCAATGATGATGAAAAATTTTAATAGGATATATGGGTAGTGTTTTATTCGTCTATTCGTTGTGAACACATAAAAAAAGAATCATCACAATCGGAGTTAAAACGGAAAAGTTATAGCGTTTTTAAGAATAGATAAAATATTGTTTATTAACTTGAGTTTGAGTTTAGGAACTTCAGTTGTAACTTGAGAATAGATAAAGTTATAACATTTTTAAGAATAGATAAAACAGAAAACTTGAACGCAGATTTTAACTCTAAACTTAAGGTAAAATTCAAGTTAAAACTCAACTTTAAACTCAAATTTTATAGAAAAACATAAACTTAAATAAAGTTGTAACTTGATTTCAAACTTTTTTTGAGTTTTGGTGCAAACGAACAATCAAAGTGTATTAAATCACAACTCAAGTTTTTATTTTTTTTTTGTGTGAGAGAGCTGATAACTCTATTAAAAATAGAGCTATCTCACTATTTTTATGCATTTAAAGTGACTAATTTTTGAGATTTTAGCTTATTTTATTTTATTTTACTTTATTTTGAATTTTAATGAATTTATTTTTCATTTTAGATTTATGTTATTTTATGTTATTCTATTTAGTTTAGTTTTAATAATTTTTATTTTAATTTTCCTTCCAAAATAATTAGTTTCCTCATTAATTTAGTAATAGGTGGGCTTAATTGCAAAATTATGAGCTGAAATGGGGTCAAAATGTAAAGAAACAAATCAGAAATTGAAAATAGAATTCAGACCAAGTAAAGCCTAATCTGGAGAGTATAAAAAGAAGTGCAAATCGCATTTTCTACTGTCAGATCTAGACTATAAACGGTCCAGATCGCGAATGTTGTACACGCTCCTCTTCGCTTGTTTGAGCTGACAAAGCTGCAGCATTTTGCCCAATCTCCACACGCCATGTTGCGAACTTGTCTCCACCTTCTTCTAGCTCCCAATCCGCCGCAGCCACGTGCACACTCAAGAAGAAGCTCCCAGCGGCCAGCCCCTAGAGCTCCGCACAGAGCTTGAAACCAAAGAAAAGAAGAGAGAAAATAATAAAGAGACGTTTGGTTCATGAATTAAAATTATGAGATTATAATTATTTTTGATTTACGTGTATTTTTTATGATAGAAAATATTATAGCGAATCACGAACTATGATGCGAATCGAGGTACAAATTCCCCAACTAAACAACTCATAAGACTTTTTAAGCCAAATTGAGACGAGAAAATATGTATATATATTTATTTTTTTTTTATCTAGAATTTTAATTCTAGCTTTAGATTTAGGTTGAGAAAGCATTTAGAGTTCAAAAAAGTAGGAAGGGAGAAAAAGAAAAAGAATTTGAAGTTTGTGACAACTCCATAATGAGGTTTTTTTTTTTTTTCTATTTTCGTATTTCTATTTTTGTAATTTGTGAATGATAGAACCTATGATTTTAACTTGTTTAATATTAGTTATGGGGTAGTTGTTATTTATAGAGCTTGATTTTGCCTAATTATGAAGTGTTAATTTATTTTAAGTGATTTTTCTTAGTTTATTTGTGTTGTCTCATTCTTAATGTTTCTGATTTGTTAGGCAATAGATTAGATTATTTAGTATATGAGTGAGGCATTCGGGAGAGGTAATTTATATGTCCGATTTGGATAAAATAACTTAAGTTTTTTGAGTTTGGGAGGCCTAAAATATCTTCGTAGTCATTAAGAGAACTAGAGTTTAAGAAATGTTCATTTACTCGATTTTTAATAAGAATATTGGAATCGAGTTTTGAGCATATTATCCGATTAGGCACCCGGGAGAGGTAATTGGATTAATTAAGGGTTCTTCACTAATAAATTAGGAGATTCCCTTGGTAGTAAAGTATTGCGGAATAATTATGGTGAAATTATCAATGCTCTAGTATTTTTATTACGTGTTTTCATCACTTCATTTTATTTGCTTTGCTATTTTTATTAGTTCCTTTTAATCGTTTTTTTTATCAGATGATTCAAATAATCTTAGAATCGATCAATTTCGGTACTTAATAAAAATTAAACACATTCCTCATGGGATCGATACTTTTATTTACACACTATATTACTTGAAGCAACTCGTACACTTGCGAGCACGAATACACGCGACAAGAGCACTATAGTAAAAAAGTAGAAATCGAATTTTTGTGCGAAAAATTACTGTAACAAAAAAAATTTATTTTGTGATTTGAGTTGTGAAAAGAACAATTGCTAATGGCGTCTTGTTCGTCACAATTCTCAAGTTCATACACGTGTTGAGTCTTCATGGGCTGATCAGTTGGGAGTACAAGTATGCTGTTCGAAGATACAAACGATGAATTTTGTATCCTAACTAATACAATATGAGAAATTAGTGCACATATATCATAAAGGCTAATTATTGAAAAGAATGAAAGCTCATTAAAATGCTAATTATATCGGCAAAACTATATTAAAACTCCAAGGGGCAAATTAAGCATGAATATTTTATCAATGGACTAATTTGAGTATATCACATGATAGAACATAATGGGCTTGGTTCATTATAGCCATGATCCAATTGCACTAAAACAACTCTTTGACATTCCCAGCAGGCGCGGGGATGGACCAAAGCTTGATCGTCGGCCTTCTTTTTCTGACCATCAGCTTTCTTCTTCTGATCTTCCGCCTTTTTATCCCCCTGCTTCTTTTGTGCCTCCGGCGGACCCACGCTCACCACATCAGCATGTGTGCCGGCTGCTTTCCTAGCGCTGACTATTATCTTGTACGGATCTGCATTGCCTGTCACGCTTACTGTTCCTTTGGCGGCATCAACTTCTATTTTATCAACACCTATATATGCATTAATCAAACTGCAGTCAAGAGTTTATCAAAAAAAAAAAAGAAGAAGAAGAAAGAAACAAATTGAAGTTGGGTATAGAAAAAAATAACCCACGTAACATATGGACTAATTCACCACTAAATTATTTATTTTTCTTGGTTTTATATATGAACCTTTTATATATATATATATATATATATGATGCTCATGTGACCTTTTGATATCTATATAAAATTATGGTTGCAGTATTCCCATTAGTTAATAAGAATTCAAAGAGAAAAAGATTTTTTGATTGTAATTGTACTTACCTTCCAGTGCAGTCACTGACTTGAGAAACTTTCTCTTGCATTTTTGGCATGAAAGATCTATCTTCAAGACAGTCCTTTGTGCCATTGAAGAATTTTTATGTTCGCTAATACTAGTGCTAACAAATTAGCTCTCTAGCTTATAAATTATTGACGAACTTTTTGAGTAAACTCACTAAGAATATCACCTTAGGAATTAGCGGACCGGTATAACGGATCTTTAGGGTCGCTCACCCTCCTACGTAGTGTACTAATATTCTTCAACATTTTTGTAGCTTGGTGTCATTATTTATCCTTTTATAAAATTGACATATAACAAGAAAGTAATATATATATATATATATATATATATATGCGTGTATAATTTATGTGCAACTTGAGTGTAATCCAATGCACGCGACAAATAGCTAGGGGGAGATAAAACCAATGCATTGACTTCTATAACGTTATGTACTTATGTTGTTGTTTTGATTTGGTTTTAATATATGGTTTGTTAGATTCCTCACAAGGCCTACCGGAAGGCAACATTTGGTGAAAGCCACACAAAGAATGAATGTAAAAAAAGGGGTGGTAGAGGGCGGTTGCAACAAGCGAAGAAAATGAACAATGAGAAGTAGAAACTAGAGCAATGAGTACTTGCAAAGAAATGGTTTTATTGGTAGATGGTAACAAGTAATAACTTGATTAATTATATGTTATAAAAATGATTAGTTGTTGTTTTCTGGTTGTTAATATTAACTTGGAGTAGCTTATGTTGCCGGGATTCCATGCCACCAAAAAGCAGCCAAAAACCAATTAGTAGAAAATAAGGGAATTAATATTCACAATTTTGCATGCATGTACTTAATTAGTTGAGAAAATTAGTGAACTCACTCTTAAATGCATTGTTTTAAGATTTATGCCCTACTTTCTAGCAAAATTCGTAATGCTATCTGTTGACGGTGAAATTTCGTCAACAGAAATACACCGGATCACCCTCTGGTATCCCGTGGGGTTACCGGCTAGAAATTAGTTTTATATTTGAAATTTAGTTATGAAGTGTTTGTTGTGTTTTGTAAGCATGAATATAACACTTGAATGAGAGGACACACGAGATTTATAGTGGTTTACTCTGTTAATGAAGAGCTACATCTACTTATGTATGGTATATTTCTTTTGGACTCTTTACAATTTACATGCACGTATCCTCTTTATCATCTAATGCTTCCGAGAGCCCTCCTCCTTGTGTATGGGGATTTGCCCCTTTTTATAGCCCGAGCTTTCTTCGTGGGTGGTTTTCCTTCGTAGGTGGAAGTACTTGAGTGGCCTACTTTCTAGGCTTAGACCGTAGCCCACTAATCACCTTTTGGACTGTTCACTCAGCCAATTGGTCTTCTATTACGGCTCTGTGAATTCCTGTAATCTCTTACTGCCCCTTGCAGGGCGGTTTAGGAGTTTCGCAATTAATGCCCGTATTGCAGATGTCTCCCATCTTTAGACGCAACTTTATGATGTCAGGCTTCTTTCTGAAGAGTATTTCCCTCGGCGTCTGTGTCCCGTAGACCTTATGCCCCTTCTGATTTTTCCAAATGTTGGTTGCATAAGTTCGACGGCACAAAGGGTCGGCGCCGTAATTTGGGCCTTTCTTTGCAGCGTCGAGGGGTAGTGAACTCCAAGCGTCGAGGGTAGTTGAACTCTTGGCATCGAGGGTAGCCACCTTTTGAGAGAAAGTAGGGTCACGCATGCTGTCGTCATTCCACATATCACCCACATTTTTCCACACAACACTATCCTAGACTTATTTATGTGATCTCATTAAAGCCACTCTAGACCCCACAAACTTCAATCTTAGAATGTAATAACACTACCACAGACTTAAACTTCGTGAAACCTATTGCCCAGCCATCCCCAAGCGACCCAAGACCTAATTCATCATTTGTCGCCGCAGCTGTTGCGTCGTCTTCTTTTTTCTACCCCTCATCCTTTTTTTTTCTTTCGTCTTTTCTTTGATGAGACAGTTCATCGTTCTTGTCATCCCTCCACGCAGCCCCAAGGCCTAACTCAGTTTCACGGACTTGTCCCAATCATCTCACCGTGATTCACAATGGATCATGAATTTTGTATTCGAAACCTTGATTTCTTTTTGGAATTTGATTATTTTGTAAATGTGATGGGTTGTACAGTTTATAAGGATTTTAGAATGTTGGCTTTTGTTAATTTTGATGTAGTTTGTAATATTTGGATTTGTTTTAAGATTTTTTAAATATTAGGTTACCCATTTTAAATATTAGGTTACCCATTGTAAATAGAACCTAATTTAGGATTAACTGAATTGTGTGTGTGTCTATGTATATATAAGCATATTCTGTATTCAATGTTAGTTGAGTTTTGAAGTTTAGAATGTTGGTTTGATTTTGAGATTGTTAGTTATTTGTTTGTTCGCTTTCAGAATATGGAATTCATGTTCATCTTTTAGATTTTAGTCAATATTAAAGTTTATGAGTTTGATGAATTTGATGTTTGTTTATAATTTTTTTAAATTATTGTTAAACTTTTAAATATTAGTTTGACTTTAGAATGTTAAATTGATGTCAGGTCTGGAATGCAAGTTTCATTTTGAAATATTGGTTTGATTTTGATCACTTAAGATTTGGGTTTAGGTTAATGTTAAAATTTATGATTTTGTGTGCTAATTAGGTGATGATTGTACTGTTGTGTTAAATATTAGAATTAATTTAAACATTATGTGTCCGTTTAGTCGTGTTCTGAAAATGGCGTTTTCATTAAACTGGTGCAAAAAAATAGATTATGAAAACGTGTTTTGATGCACTTTTTTTTTTTCCCAAAATTTTGTTTGGTTGTATTGTTTCTTAAGTTAAACTTAGCCCATCTTCACTTTAGGTTCTTTATCACAAAATACGCTCACCAAAGAACACACGACTAGAAGTGTTCATCGGATCCAATCAACCGATCAAATCGACCAGCCCAATCTAATTCAATCCAATTTTTACGGATAACCGACTTGAATTGAATTGAATTGAATTGGATGTGAATTTTTAGAAATCTACTTGGATTAAATTGGATATATTCATTTTACTTTCAAAACACTCAATCCAAACCGATCCAACCTTTATATATTTTATAGAAAATATATTTGTATTTATATTATAGGTAAAAAATTTATAGGTATGTATATGTATTTCTCTAAATTGCTTGTTGGATGTTCAATTAATATTGAAGTTTTTAATTTATAGTTTATATGCTGGTTTAGATTTATGGAAGTTAATTTTTGCTTTTTTTAGCTATAGTATTTAAATTACGCAAAAAAAAAAAAAAAATCTAACAAATAGGTCCAACTAATCGGATTGGATTGGGTTTGATGATACATTAATAATTGAATTGGATTGGATGAAATTTATAAAAACCGACCTTTAATTGCATTAGATGTTTTACGATTAAATTAGGTTGGATTGGATTGTATGAACTTCCTTAATTATACACCAACCTCCACTGTTGCTGGCCTCACGACCCCAACCTTTGTTACCGGTCTTGAAACCTAGATGCCACCAGTACTGCTTGCCTCGTAACCCAAGCGCCACTATGAATCCTTGCAAACTACTGCCGCTCCTGCTCTCCTCACAACCTACACATCGTCATCATTCCTCGCGACCACTGCTGTTCTGCTCGCTTCATAAACTAGGCGTAAGGATGACATCAGGGCGAATTTTGGGCAGGATGGTCTTTTTGCCAACCTGACTGGCAAACAAAAACATAAACCATTCCCATCCCATTAATCCGTACAAGTTGGCGAGGGCTACGGTTTCCCGTCGTATGGTGCATCATTTACACGATTAGTTATTTTCATTATATTTCAACAAAAAAAAATTATAACATATTATATATAATATTTTAGTTTAAAAATAAAATATGAGTAAAGGGGCGAGTAAATTTAGAATAGGGTCAAAGACTTATAAACTCATCTCCGCCTCATGATGGATTAAAATTTCACTCCATTTGCAACCTAAAATTGTTTAAATCGGAGTTTTCAAGCCCCCATTTAAGGCGGGTCCCGGTGAGTAAATGAGTTAATGGGTAAAATTGTCGTCGCTCGTCACACGTCACTACTCCTCGCATGGCACCGCCACTCGCCTCATCTCGCCACTGCTCGCATTGAAACCCAGACACCGCCACTCCTAACAAATGTTAGACATCACCATCGCCGCTCACCTCACCTTGCCACTGCTCACCTTGCGTCTCCCGCCGCGGACCCAAACAGTATCATGCCCTTTTGGAAGCAAAGAGTGAGAATCGTTTTCTGATTTTACAAATTAAAGGATATGTAGATTTTTTCCACAATCCTGTTTTCATTGTATTCAAAAACTAATTACCAAACATATTTCCCCCCCAAGTGTTTTTGTTTCTTGTATTTTTGGTGTCAAAAATTTGTTTTTGGTTTGGTAACCGAATGGGCCCTATGTTTTTATGTAGCTGTATGCGACAGGTTTTCCATAACATATTCCTCTAGCAATTACTGGTTTAATACAAACATTCTTAAAATAAGTGTTATATTTTCATTAAGATGCAGCAATCGTGAACGTCGAATACAGATTTTATGTTTAAGGTTATATACGGGACCTATCCAACGATTTTAAAGAGCTTGCTACTTTTGGAAATACTACACTTGCAAATTGCAATCAAATGAATGAATTTAGAGAAGGATGGGAAATTTTGTAAGTCAATTGACGAGTGGCTTAATTGCTTTAATTTATAAATATTAAATATTTTTGAAATTACATTTGTGGATTGTCAATTTATCGATGAATATTTAATGACTATACTCATAATGTAACTTCAGGCCAACAATTAATTGATTGCATAATAATTTAGGCCTAATTAACACACTATAGATAGATCACCGCCCGTACAAAAACTAAAAAAAAAAACTGCCTTTTTTTTGAAGTGCCATATTGGGAATACATGAACATAACATAAATAGAATTAGTTATTTACTTAAATCCGTTTAAATATAAAACATTTATATTCTATTAATATTAGATGACCTATCTATGGATGGATCTCGATCGATCCTGAGTGATTGGTGGACTCACA